ACAAATAACTTCCAAATACATGTGATGAAATTTGTGTCAAATTGTTTACTGGCTGTGCTAATAATAGCATTCACTTTAAACACCAAAGAAAGCAGTACATGCAGCCAGTACTGGTATTTGTCCTCTGTGTTACTCAACTCAAACACAAAGGAGAAATAAAGATTAATGTCATTTAATGTGTTATGCTACAAAGGGGTAAGCCATTTGGTAGCTTGACTTCAGTATTTTTAAATACTGCTAATTCATACTTGGTGATTGTTGCATATGAGCTACATTTTATTTTGCTTCCTTCTTTGTAAGTATTAAAATCTTAAATAAAACTACCTAAAACAACCAGGAAAAAAAGATAGAGGCAACAGAATAGAAGGGAAGACTGAAAGTGTGGGTGTGACAGGGAGATTCTAAACTTTTGTAGAAGCTGAATTTTGAAAGAAATAGAAATTAAGACCTTGTGTACAAGCAAAGAATCACAGGGAGATGTTTGGATAAAGAACAGTTTGGTTTGATGACTGAGATTAAATAACCCTTTAAGAAAATTAAGTCTGCAACAACCACATCTGTAACACTATGCAAAAGAAACTATAGAATCAGTTTCTTTTGTGATCAGAATCAGAAAAGAATTTGCTTCTTTTCATTTTATAAATAATTATACTTGCTAAGCAACTCCTTCTTGTTAAACACCCATGTCATAAAGTTGCTATAACAGCTGACTCATTTAGTAATGGCTAATTAGCTATACGGAAAGGCTAAATAAATAATGTTTGCTAAGACTTCAGTTCTCTCATTGTTTTCTTTATTACAATTAGTGTGTCAAGTTTCAGAACTGTATCTCAAATCATTGTGCTTAGTAGGCATTTATTCACCAGTTGTGTCCAGGGCACAGTGAAACATAATACCTGCTTCTCCAGTAATATTTGCCTTTGATATATGTCCATTTTGCTGGTCATTGGGTTTCTACAAAGGAAGCACAGTTTTGTAAATTAAAAATGGTACTAAAGAAGTGAAACATGCACAATATTTACAGGTTAAGTAGCAGCACTGGGCACTGACCTTATCTACAGCTTCTGCACGCCTAGTTCTCTTCATGATCTCCTCAAGCCTCTACAATGAAATGTAAAGGGTAAAATAATGTTTGCTGGCGTTCATTTAAGAATATTTCTCCCAAACCACAACTGCTTGTCATTTATCAGTTGCATCTGTTTATTGCAAAAAGATGAACGATTTATTAACTGCTGGCAATATTCCCTTCACTTTCACATCAGGCTATGCAGATGAGGACTGCAGCTTTTCTGAGGGCACATTTATCTCATGGATAACTTTCTACAGCTGAGGTGGAAGCAAACTGCTAAGCCAAAATGAATTACAGTTTCTCTGCATGTACTGAGTTACCTTCTTCCTTTCCAAGCGCTCTTGCTCTTCTCTTTGGAAATGTTTTTCACGTTCTAATCTAATCCGCTCTGCCTCTTCCCGTATGCGAGCTTCTTCTTCTTTCTGAGTTGATGGTAAAAGAAAAAGAAGTGAGGAACAATTTACTATTTAAGGACAGATTTACACTGGTATCTGCTTAACTATGCATATCTACAACACCCTGAAATGACACTTTTGGGGTTTACAAGTCACCAACAATCTTTTCAGACTGAATTGCACATTTCTTGATTAATCTCAATAATTTGCATAGTATTAAGAGATGCATAACTAAACAATGGACATCATATTTTATTCTGTGCCTTTTCTGGGGCACGTACATGAAAGCACACCAGATGACAAATGATGAATACATTCCCTAACCTTCAGCATAAAAACAGCAGCCAGGAAAGTATTCAAGAGACTCATGTTTTGAGTGGTGGACATTTTGAGAGTCAAACAAAAGCAACAGAATGTTTTATTTGGCCAACAGAGTCATCACTTAATGAGACCAAGGACAAACAGCCACAGGTACATTTGCACGAGCTTTCCATTCCT